ATTTAATGTGCACTATTTCTGGCAGTCTGCAAAGGCCCTTACTCTCAGGTAAAAACAAAGTTTTTGTTATTTGAGGATTTTTTCACATTCACAGGGGTCCTGTGCCCCTAACATCAGCAAATATGGAGGGACAAATATAGAAGCCAATATGTTTCCTATGCTCTTAGGTAACATTCAGAGCAGAAGGTTGCATGACGTTTTAATAAGCAACTAGCCATCCCATTCCCAATTATATAAACTCTCAGAGTGTTGTTATGGGCTCTGCCTTGTTTGTAAGTCTGCTCTTTGAGACTTGCTTGAACTTCACATACTGGTCTGTTTGGACTTGCTATCAGCTACTTGGCTGCTTTCCCGGACACAGAGATAAAATAAAAAACACTTGGGACAGAAAAATGTTGACAGTGTTTAACTCTGGTTTTGTGAGGTGTGATATTATAATTACAGGGAAGAATCTATTGAAGTAAACACTTCATTGGCAGAACCATCAGGAATCACAAAAGCCTGCTATAGCATTGACATTTCTGCACAAGGCGCTGGGCTGACAGCACAACTGATTGACAGTGTGCCCCTCTGTGAAAGGTAACTAGGAAACACAACACAAAGACAATGAGCTTTTAGGCATATAGGAGATTTATAGATTGTCCTCACTCCTTGCTCCTTCTGCCCCCTCCACCCAAAGCAGTAACAAGGACAATTAACCAAGACAGAGGAATTGTGTTCTCTTTAATTAACCTCTGTATATGGATTGTCACCAGAGGTGTCACAGTGAAGGCAGGGGTGGAGGGCAAGTCATATCTGTCTTGGGTTGATGAGCGGAAACTAACAAGATTCAAACTTAGAGTAGAATGCCTCAGCAACTGTCTTTCTAGTAATTTGCTCCATACTCCTCTTGAAAGAGCCAAAAGCCTCAGACATAAGATATTTTCATCATTCCCCCACTTCTAGAGGGTGATGGCCTTAATATCTAGTCTACCTTTCTCCCAACAAGGGATCTAAGGCCACCCATAGCATACATTAAACAAAGTACAGCTAAAATACAGTGACTGCAATCCTGTTGATTAGTCCCAACTAGAGTAGACCCATTACTTTTAAGTCATGTGTCAACACATAGGTAAATCTGATTGATTCAGGGGTAGTCAGGATATTAGGACTTAGGCCATGATTATAATAATTTTTTTTTAAAAAATTAAGCAATCTTATTAAAAGTAGAAGTAATTTAAAACAGTTTAGCAGCATTTGAAGCATAACTATGTGAATAAAAATGCAGTAACATCCAAAATCCACAAAACAGTAATATCGTTATTGGATAAAGATGCAAAAAATACATCATACAGGCTTTCGAAGTTCCATTGACTTCTTTATCAGGCAAAGGTGTTAAAAAACAAAGAGGAAGAATGAAACAGAAAATTGATGATGTTGGAGTCACATGCCTACAGTTTGTCAAGACGTTGTTATAATTGAGTACCCAACTGTTGGGGGGCAATGAGCTTACAGTTGCAAACCTCGTAGACATCCCTAGTGACCAAGCAGTATATAAAATGAAGCTGCTTTTGTTTTCAGTTAAAATGATACAGAGGGATATCTATGCAGGCAGAGGCCATTCCTTCTCCTTGGCCATACAGGATCTCTTTATGAAAGAGTCTTAAAGTCCAGAAAAATAAAGTTTAAATTCCATTAGCAACACACACAAAAAAACTTTCCTTTGAGATCCAGGTTGTGTCTGTCCTGTGCAAGGATACCTGTCCCATTCTTTGGCAGAAAACATTGAATTTCTCAAGAAGTCTCTTGTTGTTGTATTTGGAAAACTTTTAGATGAAGTTTAGGGAAAACACACCAAATGCAGTCCTATTTTTTTTTTATTTTTTTAAAAAAAGTTTTACCTTTGTTGGAGGTAAAATCCTCAGAGTTAAATTGCAGGTAAAATACAGTACCCTCAAATCAAGAAAACACATCAATGAGTAGCCATGTTGGCCAAGCAGCAAAGTACAATAACATCCAAAATCCAGAAATTTATTGGGCCAACCAACCAAAATGCATGACTGCATCCATTAGAAGGGCCATCTACAACAATCAGTTAATCATCAGTAACCTGCATTGTAGTTGTGTGCCTTCAAATTGTTTCTGACTTATAAGGTGAATCTATTATGAGTTTTTTTTTGGCAAAATTTGGTCAGATGGGGTTTGACTTTTCCTTTTCTTTCTTCTGAGGCTGAAAGTGTGTGACTTTTCCTAGGTCACCTAGTGGGTTTCCATGACCAAGTGTTCCTACAGCCAGATACATGAAAAAAACATCATCCTCTGGGAACTTCAGAGGATGCTTTCATCAGGAGTCCAGCTGCAGGAAGATAAAC